GGCTCAGGCAATCCACTCACCTCAGCCTCCCAAAGTGTTGGGATTACAGGCTGAGTCACCAAGCCCGGCATCACCACATCTCAATGGCTTTTAACGTTTGTTTAATAAGCAGACTACTAGGTTCTGAAGCATCCCCAGAGCCTGCCGTATCATCTCAGAGTACAGACACAGACACATTGATCAATAGAACAGAACAGAGAACCCAGAAATAAAGTCACACTCCTACAACCAACTGATCTTTGACAAAATTAACAAAAACAAGACATTGGGAAATGGACACCCCCCATTCAATAAATGGTGCTAGGATTACTGACTAGAAGAATTCTATGCAAAAGAATGAAACTGGACCCCTATCTCTCACCATACGCAAAACAAAGAGACTTAAATATAAGACCCGAAACTATAAAAATGCTTGAACAGAACCTAGGAAAAACTCTTCTATCGGCCAAGGCAAAGAATTTATGACTAAGACATCAAAAACAGCCAGGCACAGTGGCTCACTGTAATCTCAACACTTTGGGAGGTTGAGGTGAGAGGACTGCCTGAGCTCACAGGTTTGAAACCAACCTGGGAAACATGGCGAGACCTTCTCTCTACAATTAAAAACAAAAAAAAAAATTAGCTGGGTGTGGTGGCACATGCCCATAGTTCCAGTTACTTGGAAGGCTGAGGTAGAAGGATGGCCTGTGACCAGCAGGTAGAGGCTGCGGTGGCCATGAGTGTGCCATTGCACTACAGCCTGGGTAACAGAGTGAGACTCTGACTAAAAAAACAAAACAAAAAAACCCCTCAAAAACAAATGCAACAAAATAGATAAATGGAACTTAAACTCAAAAGTTCTGCAGAGCAAAAAATAAAAATAGACAGAAAAACTATAGTAGAAAATAGCTGCAAACTATGCGTCCGACAAAGGACTAATATCCAGACTCTATAAGGAACTCAACTAAGTAAGAAAAACACAAATAACCCTTTTATTAGCATGATATCCTTATATAATGAAAAAACAAACAAAAGTAACCCCTTTAGTAAGTGTGCAAAGGATACAAGCACACATTTTTTAAAAAGAAAACATAAACAGCCAACTAACATTAAAAAAGGCTCATCACTAGTCATTGGAGAAATGCAAATTAAAGCCCCAAGGGGATACCATCTTATACCAGTTAGAATGGTTATAATTAAAAAGTCAAAAAAACAAAAGCAAAACCAACTACATGCTGGTGAGGATGTGGAGAAAATGAAACGCTTATATATTGCTGGAAGGAATGTAAATTAGTACCTCTATTGAAAACAGTATGGAGATTAATCAAAGATCTAAAAATAGAACTACCATTTGATCCAGCAATCCCACAAGCTATCTACTCAAAGGAAAAGAAATCATTACATTAAAAAGATACTTGCATTTATGTTTACTGCAACGCTATTCACAATAGCAAAGTCATGTCATTAACCTAAGCGTCCAACAGCAAATGATGGGATAAAGAGAATAAGGTACATATACATTGAATACTATTCAGCCACAGAAAACCACAAAACAAAATCATGTCTTTTGCAGCAACATGGATGGAACCGAAGGCCATTATCCTCCATGAAATAACTGAGACACAGAAAGTCAAATACCTCATGTTCTTACTTGTAAGTGGAAGCTAAACAATGTGGACATACAGATATACAGTGGAATAATCGACACTGGAGCCTTCAGAAAGTGGAAAGGTAGGAAGGATAAGAAATTACCTATTGGGTAGGATGGTCACTATTCAGATGATGGTTACACTAGGAGTCCAGACTTCACCACTATGCAATACGTCCCTGTGGCAAAACTGCACCTGTGCCCTCTTATTTAAAACAAACCCAAAATTCTACAGTGTTTGAGATTAACCAGAATATATAAGGGATACTTGTAAAATATTTACTTAATAACAAAATAATACATAACAGTAATAGAATATTTACCAAACAGTGAAAAGCCTTGAAAAGTCCTTCATTATAAGCGAGCTTAATTTAAAAAGTAATATTTGAAGCAAGAACAGTATACTATATAATAAATGTGTGCAATGTTAAAAAAAAATGGTGTGCCCCAAATTCTACTTTCCCTGCTCAAGTTAACAATTCAAGAAATCTGGAAAAAAACCAGTTCATAAACGAGACATTTTAAATACTGAATGTCAGGGGAAAAACACCTCCAGGTCTCACCCCTTGGTATGTGTCCCACTCACCTTCCATACACTCGTTCACAGACTCATAGTCGGCGTAGGTCCTGCCTTCCGGCCTCTTGGTGGGCTGCACCAGCAAGATGGTGTGAGACTGCAGGGGAAAAACCGATGTCAACACAAGTGTCAGCCTTTACCTGAGAAGTTCATAGGATGACCCACACCCCCGTTTGTGATACAATAATGATGATCAGCTGCCAAGACATAGTTAATGAGGGTGCCCTCCCAACATCCACGTCTCTACCCAGATTCCCGACTCCTCTGAGGCCCCCGGTTGCCCGTCCTCCGAGGGCTTTCTCAATCCTAGTGCACTCGCTGTCCTCAAGCACTCAGCGCAGCTGGGTGCAGTGGCTCACACCTGTCATCTCAGTACTTTGGGAGGCAGAGACGAGAGGTCTGGCTAAGTACATGGGTTCAAGACCAGCCTGGGCAACTTGGTGAGACCTCATCTCTACAATAAATCAAAAAAATTAGCCAGGCATGGTGGCATGTACCTGTGGTTCCAGCTACTTGGAGGCTGAGGTGGAGAAATCACCTAAGCCCAGTAGGTAGAGGCTGTGGTGGCCGTGAGTGTGCCACTGAACCGTAGCCTGGGTGACAGTGAGAATCCTGCTCAGAAAAAAAAAAAAAAAAAGCAAGCACTCAGTGCACCCTGCACTGCTTTTCCTTTTGTAACTTTTCTTCCCAATTAGACTACAAACCTGCTTGGGCTTTCTGTCTCCACTGGTCACCTCCTACCTCTAGCCTTGTAAGTCTCTAATAAAAAATCTGATGGGCCAATGAAAGGAAACACAAATGGCTCCTGGGAAGAAAAATCTAACCCTGCAGAGAATCATGGGTCCACTGAAATTATGCACCTCCCCGGCCAGGCACAGTGTTTCATGCCACTAATCCCAGCACTTTTGGAGGCAGTGGCAGGAGTTCAAGACCAGCCTGGGCAATATGGCAAGGCCTCATCTCTACATTAAAAAAAAAAAAAATCCACTATATATCTATATCTATGTATGAATGTATGCAAATTTAAAAAATGAAATTATACATTCCCCTAATTTTTTGCATGTGTAAAGGTGACTATTAAATGCAAGAACTCTCAAATACCCAATCCCAAATCACACTATCTACATTTTTCCTTCTCTTTTGCTGTACTGGCATTTTTCAGCCAAAAAAAAGGTCTCCTAACGAGAACTCTTAGCTGCTTTGAAATGCTCAAAACTTTTAGTCATCAACAAACTGAAACTGAAATAGCTGAAACCTGGACTTGCTGAATAGACAATGGAAAAGCAGTACTTTGAACATGAGATACAAAGGCGTTATCATACACCTCCCTGCCCATCATGAACCCAGTCATTTTGACTAAAAGCTTGAGAGGGCTTTAAATAAAAATAGCACTTGGAGACAAGAGATGAGGGCAACTCTCACATTAATGATTTAAACACAGTCAAAGCCCTTGTTAAATAATGATTAAAAGCCAGAGATATATGGAAGATTGAACAAACCCATTCAGATGATCAAGAATGTAAAAAAAAAAAAAAAAAAAAGCCAGAGAAAGCATATTACATTATTTATCACACACGTTTTTGGAAGCTAGCTACATTAAAAAAGCAATTCCGATGGGCCAGTTGTCGAAAATAGTGTCATAGAAACCACACGAGCGTGCCTGCCACAGAGCTGTATCAGTGGCTACCGCGTTAATTTTATTCTTAGTCTAATGGAAATTAAAGGACTAATTCATCTGAAAGGAACACATGGGAATGGCTATAGAACACGCTGCTTTTCACGTTTAGTCTTGCCATGACCCGGGACCACACGTGCTGCTTTCAACGCTTACTGACCAAAGACTAGGATTAAAGAACATTACCAACACAGCACGACTAAATGTTAAGAACTGTTGTCAAACGGTTATCGTCTCCAAGTGGCACTGCCCTCCTGTCGCCAGTTTTTAAGAGCCCACGATGCCTCCCAGGCCAGCTGCGGTCACCTGCTTGCTTCTCGCCGGGCTCACTGACCTCCAAGAGAGCCTCTCTTTTCAGCCTCTAGCCCCAGTGGGATATAAAGTGAAGAAAGGGACGGGGGCGGAGGGAAACGCTACGCGAGGCACCCAGAGATCTTCTTCTCTTTTGAGTCGGGGTCCTGCTGTCACCCCAGGCGGGAGTGCAGTGGCGCGATCACGGCCACCGCAGCCTCGACCTCCTGGGCGCAGGCGATGCTCCCGCCTCAGTCTTCCCAGTAGCTGGGACTGAGACATGCGCCACCACGCCCGGCTGATCTTTCGATTTGCTGTAGAGACGAGGTCTTGCCAAGTTGCCCAGGCCAGTCTTGAGCCCCTCAGGCAATCCTCTCGCCTCCGCCTCCCAAAGCGCTGGGATCACAGGCGTGAGTCGCCGCGCCCGACCGACCCGGGGGCCCAAAACGAGAGGGAAAAAGTAAAAGAGGGAGAGGGCGCAGGGAGCGGGAGCAGGGGCGCACGCGCGCCGAGTGTCAGCCCCGGGCACGGCGGGGAGCCGGCCATTGTTTCCGACGGGCGTGTCGAGCAGGGGGCAGGGGCGCGACCCCAAGGAGGCGCGGCCGAGGAGGCGTCCCCGACCCCGGCCCGGCGGCGGGTTCGGCCTACAGTCGGGCCCCGCGCGAGCCCGCGTCTCCGAGGCGGGAAGAGGGCTGCACTGCGGCGGCGGGGATGCAGGCTAGCACTGCGAGGGGCGGGCACAGGAAAACGAGCGGGGCTAGGGTCGCGTTGGAAGCGGGGGGGGTCGCCGAGGCCTTTCTCACCATCGCGCCAAACTCTCCTCGCCGCAGCCGCCGCCAACACCGCCGCCGCCACACGAGCTGAGCTGCAACGCCGCGCGCAGCCAATCCCCGCGAGAGGAACCGCCGGAAGTCGGCGGAAGCGCAACGCGAAGACCATTCTAGACCATAGAGACACACTCACTTCCGGGAGCTAGAGTTGACGCTGATGCTGTTTCAGCCATCTTGGATAAGGGCAGTACGGTCGGTAAGGGAAACCTTCCGAACTTTAGAAAGAATTGTTTTTTTTTTTGCGAGATGCTGTCTTCCATGTATTCTCTATGAGACACATGGAGAACGTGCTTACCGGTGTAGGCGTGACACAGTCCTCTTTCCGCAGCCCTACTCAAAAATGGCGGCCGTATAAATTTCCCGGGCCAGAGGTCGGTTGTAACCCGGAAATGCCCTTCTAAAGACGGGGGCGGTGAGACAATCCGGAAGTGGATGTCAAGAAGAGGTGCCACTTGGCGGCCATGGCCGCTGTAGTATCGGTGACTTCGGGTCAAGGCCCGATGGAGTGGGGTACCATGCGTAGCACCGGGGCTAGGGCAGAGATAGCTTTGTGTCAACTTCGCTGCTGAACCACCAAGACCTGTCACTAAAGACCTGCAGGACTCCTCTCCCCATCTTAGACTCGCAGGGGAGTTTGCCGGGACCGGCGGACTGGTCCTTGTGCTGGGGGCGGATCGCCAGCGGGCGGCTTCGGGGATACCGGGTGCCGAAAGAACGAACAGGCTCGCTTGGGTTCTCCTCCTTGTCCTGCTGCCGCCTGGAGCGTTGTGCTACCCTCACTCGACGGCTGGAGAAATCGCTCATTCGCACGCTTTCGCGTTGACTTCTCTCTTCTCTGTTCACCCACGAGAACTCGGTGGCTGGCGCCTGAGAACCCGGGGACTGGGACCTGAGACTGCTTGGTGTTCTCTGGGACTAACAGCAACAAAAAGGGGCTGTTTCCAGGTACGTTCGAGAGAAAGGTGCCTCGTGAACACATCTGCTGCTTGGAAGGCGCCCTTGTTCTTGGGAACACCCACACGTGTTGAAGGAACCTGAGCACCTTCTGAAGCCACTGGAGATTTGCAGTCTGGTGGTGGGTGAATCAAGGAGGGCAGCATGGATGATTTCCTCTCCATTAGTCTGCTGTCTCTGGCTATGTTGGTGGGATGTTACGTGGCTGGAATCATCCCCTTGGCTGTTAATTTCTCAGAGGTAAGAAATTCTCAAGTTGATATCACCTGTCAGTATGGCTGCTAGAAAGTCGTGGTAGTTGAGAAGAGAAGCTGCTTGCCTAGTTAATCTCACAAGCTGAGAGTCTCCTTAAGGAAGACTGTCTTTTAAACAGATGCATTGGCCGGGTGCGGTGGCTCTCATCTGTAATCGCAACACTTCGGGAGGCTGAGGCGGGAGGATGGATTGAACCCAGGAATTCGAGACCAGCCCGGGCAACATAGTGAGATCCTTTCTCTACAAAAAAAATAAAATAAAATCAGCCGGGCGTGATGGCGTACGCCTGTAGTTCCAGCTACTTGAGAGGATGAGGTAGAATTGCCCGAGCCTAGGATGTTGAGAGTGTGGTGAGCCATGATCTTGCCATTGCTTTCCAGCCTGGGCTACAGAGTGAGACCCTGCCAAAAAGTAACATAAAATAAAGAGATGCATAACGTTTAATAATAGAAGCTAACCTTTTATGTTCAGTACTTGTATTTTTAACCTGGGGTGGATGGATATTCCATTGAAGATCCTGGAGTATTCTGAATCCCCTGAAATTTAGGTATTTTTACAAAAATGTGGGGCTGTGTGCATTTTGCAGAAGAGAGGCACCATAACATTTATTTTGATTCCCAGAAGTTTCAAGGAATTCCAGATTGTTATCGAGAAAATAAATGGAGAATGTTATTTGTCCATGTGAGTTGAAATCAATACGGCAACTTTTTTTTGAGAAAATCAAGCATACCTTTTTGAGGAAAACTAAGATTTTTTAAAAATGCCTGTACTAGAATGAATGTAAGAAAAAACTAGATTGTTCTGAAATCACATTTTTAAAAAAGTGTTGGAAATGATGTTGTGAATTTGTTTTCAAATCTGTTTAAAATTAATTTTTGGTTATATGTTTTGACATTTTAGTTGATTTGGTTGTCCTTCCTTGAATACACATTAACGGGGAAGAAGGACAGATGGAGCATTGTCCAGTGAAAATGCTGATAGATAGGTTCTTTAGCTAGGCATAGAGAGCTCACAAACTGCACAGCGCTCAACGATGAAAGGGGAAACTGCTACATCTGAGGGACCTGGATCTCATGAGTTTGTCCTGGAGGTCGGCAGTGAAGTAGACCCTGGCCTCAGTGCTATTCCTGAGAGTGCTTTCAGAGGAGATGGGAATAGAATGGTCTGAAGTGGAAAGGTAGGTACACATGAGGTATGCCGTAGGCCTTGTGGAAGCTTGAGGATGAGGGGGTATTACTGGTGAACAGAATCGCCTGTGGTTGGGAGAGACGGGTATTGTAAGTTTGAGGCAAAGCAAAGCCCACAGCCAGATGGAAGGGAGGCTTGGATTGCTGCTGCTCCTTTTCCATTTCCTGTTTTATCTGTACCCCTCAGCATCTAGTGATAACAATTTTTTTTTTATCATTATCTACATAACCTAACTTTAAAATCTCAAGCTGAGTGTAGTGGCATGTCTGTAGTCCCAGCTATTTGCTTGAGTCTAGGAATTACCCTGGGTAACACAGCAAGACCCCTTCTCTTAAAAAACAACAGCAACAGAACAAACAAACAAAAACCCCCAAAATGCAACAAAATGTAATTCAGTGAGGTACAGATGAAGAAACTGAGACTCAGATTATTGGATTTGGACCAAACAAGTTCAAGAAGTATATTAGAATCAGAGGTGTTTATTAAATCTAGGTTTTTCTGTCTCAGGCCTGTTCTTAGTTTCTCTGTCCATTTTGGCAAATTATTATTATTATTATTATTATTATTATTGAGTTGAGCTCTCACTCTTGCCCAGGCTGGAGTGCAGTGGCACAATCATGGCTCCCTGCAACCTCAATCTCATGGGCTCAGGAGATCCTTCTTCCTCAGTCTCCTAAGTACCTGCGACTACAGACGTGTGCTACCACACCTGGCTAAATTTTTGGTTTTTGCAGAGATGAGGACTTTCTGTTGCCCAGGCTGGTCTCGAACTCCTGGGTACAAGCAATCCTCCCACCTCAGCCTCCCAAAGTGCTGAAATTACAGGCATGAGCACCTGGCCTTTAATTTTATTTTAATTGTTGTTTTTTGCCTGTATTTCCTCAAGGCAACAGTTGCTGAGTAGCAGCTGATTGGCAGTGTCCTCCTTGGCCTGTAAAGCCTCTGTTGCTCATTTGGGTCATCTGCCTGCCAGTACTTTGTGGCCCTGCTGTTTTCCTCTGACATAACCGTATTTCCTTGTAACTACATTTGAATTGACTTGACATTAATAGGGCTGATAGTTGTGAGATTTGGGTTGGTTTGTATATTTAAAGACTTGTTGAGGTAACAGTTATAAAGAATTATAATTCAAATAAGCAACTGGTAAAACTTTTTATTTCTATAAAATACTTAGAACTTTTCCAATTTCAGTATTTTCTCAAACCATCTTGAATAATTATTGCAATATGCAGATATGTGCTGTATTTCACTGAAAGGAAATGTCTACATGAGTGGTGTTATTAACTCAGCCATTGATAGTATAATTAGTATGTCATGTCATTTGTGACTTTCTAAATCAGTAGTCAAGAGGTCTTTTCCAGCTGTAGCTATTAAAATGCTATAAATCAGCATTCACAATATCTGTTTATTATTACAGCAGAAGCAATGCATTTTGAGTTACTAGAATAAAAATGAAAGCTATTTATAACTTAGACGAAGACATTTTAGAATTCAACTGGTATTTTCTATCTACTAGAAACTAAACATTTTTTTCTAGATGGATTATGCTATTATTGTGTGTCGAGTATCGTGAAACTAGTGAGGTGATAAATTTGTAAAAGTAACCTTGAGGCCTGGTATAGTAGCTCACACCTGTAGCCCCAGTACTTGGGGAGGCTGAGGTAGGATGATTGCTTGAGCCCAGGAGTTGCAGACCAGCCTAAGCAATATAACAAGATCCTGTCTCTTAAAAAAAAAGTAAGCTTCATTCATAGGGAACTGGGAAGCATAATTTCTATCCTTAGAATATAACTCATATAACTCCCAAACTCCCACATTGGCTAAAAGACTTTCCTTTTTCAGAGATTCTAGCTTTTCTTAGGGACTAGTTGTATTTACAAATAAGAGAAGAGGGCCAGGTAATCTTACTTTATTTTACAGTTCACTTTTATTTACATTGCTTTTTATTCATATAGTTAGTCTTTCTACTGCCTTGTCATTCAGTACGTTTTCTTCGAATTTCTCAGAGCAGGAATAAAGTTAGATGACCAGTAAAACCCTTAATTATGGCAGGATTCATATTTAGGAATGAGTTAAACTCAAGTAGTCTAAAATTGCTGCAGCAGTCGGTTCACCTGTCAGATCTGACCACCGAGAGACTTCTGTGCCATTGATTTCTTTCACTTTCTCCGACACTCCTCACCCCTTGCCCTTTGACCTGGTGACTGAACCTTCATGCTTAACTGGTTTATAAAATGAAGGGCTGGCCGCGCTGGGAGGTGGAGGCGAGACCAGCCTGGTCAACTTGGCAAGATCTCATATCTACAAATTAAAAAAAAAAAAAAAAAATTGACTGGGCGCAGTAGCTCACGCCTATAATCCCAGCACTTTGGTGAGAGGATTGCCTGAGCTCACGGGTTCAGACCAGCCTAGGCAACTTGGTGAGACCTCATCTCTACAATAAATCAAAAAATTCGCCGGACGTGGTGGCGCACATCATAGTTCTAGCTACTTGGAAGGCTGAAGAGGAAGGATCGCCTGAGCCCAGCAGGTCAAGGCTGCAGTGGCCATGAGTGTGCCACTGCACTCCAGCCCGGGCAACAGAGTGAGACTCCTGACTCAAAAAAAAAAAAAAAAATTTTATCAGGGCATGGTGGTACACACTTGTGGTTCCAGGTACTTGGAAGGCTGAGGTGGGAGGATCGCCTAAGTAGGTTGAGGCTGCAGTGGCCCTGGCTAAGCGTGCCACTGCACTCCAGCATGGGTGACGCTGTGAGATTCAATACAACCAAAAAAACCAAAAGAAAAAGTCTCTGATTCTCAAATGCAATTATAAATAACTACGATAATCAAGATTATCAAGGAGACCAAAGCATGCTTTATGCAAATGAGGTCCTCTCCAGTAAGGGAGTGAGACAGAGTGGTTTAGCACTGTCCTGCGTTTTTTTAGATTTAGTTGTTAATGAGTTTTCTTTAGCTCCAAATACCACTGTTACAGGAGCAGGTTGAGTGCTTAGTTGCCTGGTGTAAACCTAGTGTAACTGCTCACACTGATGAATGAAGTTGCCATACAGACTGATGACCAAAATGGGAGTTCAGATTGATTGTCTGAGGGTTGTCATTTGCCTGAGGCTGTTAACCCTGTCACAGCGTGGGTAATAGAGCAAGAGTGTAGCAGGGCTGCGGAGCAATGTTCCTCATACTAGCTGGTCAAGGACCAGTTCTTGTTTTCATTTTTATACCAGTCCAGACCAGTACATTTGTAAAGACAAAATACTGGAAAAATACAGTGGAAAAAAATACATAAAGTACAAGCACAAATGCATTGTTATTAGATTCAACAGACATAAAAGTACTCCTATAAGGCTGAGCGCAGTGGCTCACACCTGTAATCCAGCACTTAGGGAGGCTGAGGCAGGAAGATCTCTTGAGCCCAAGAATTGGAGACCAGCCTGAGCAACATAGTGAGACCTCGTCTTTATAAAAAATCAGAAAGTTAGCTGGGTATGGTGGCATGTGCCTGTAATCCCAGCTACTCAGGAGGCTGGGGTGGAGGGACCTCCTGAACTTAGGAGGTAGAGGCTGCAGTGAGCTGTGATCATGCCATTACACTCTAGCCTGGGTGACAGAGTGAGACGCTGACTCAAAAAAAAAATTATTCCTATAATTTTAATATTTATATTGCTAGTACAATTTCTGAGGGCTTTCTCTCAGTTTCTGTATATTTCTTGTTGCAGATCAGCTTGGGTTATAATGCCACATTTTGATACAGCAAAGTTGGCTAGGTGCAGCAGCTCACACCTGTAATCTGAGTGCCT